TTTCCTGACATAAATAAATGGCTACAGCCATTATTGCTGAGTTGCCTCTTCAGGAAAGAAGCCAAAAAACATTTTTGTGAGGTTTTTAACTACCTCTGAATCAGTCCTATTCTAAATGCTACCAGAGTCTTTTTTTAGCTTGGCCAGTATATGTCTTAAGTGAAATATTATTTCACAAAGAACCATATTACCTAACCTTTCCTCTGTTTCCTGCCATATATGAATGAGTATGGCCATTATTACTGAACTACCACTTCAATAAACAAGTCAAACAGTATTTCTTCTGAGGTTTATTGAGCTACCTCTGGGTCAATCGATAATGTAAATGCTGTTAATAAGAATTATATTTACATAAATTATGCAAAGGTTAACATCAGCTATACAGTAATAGTTTGCACTCTACATATAAAAAGTGGTGGTATGTAATGAAATGTTCTTTTCATACTTGGTACTTCAATGTGAATCTATTTAGGCATGATATATGTAACTCTAGGTCTACGTAACCCAGAAACTATGTATTTGTATTCAGTATTGTAGAATGTCATATAGTGTCTCTACCTCCTTTGTCCTCTTGTTTCCTACACTTCCTTAGAACACGTTGGTTAGCAGTTCTGAGAGACACAGCTCACTCAATGGCCATTCCCTACGTCTTCCTTGCTTAGCTAAGTTTTATATCTTTGTCCATCCTTCTCCCAGATGATTTAGGGGGTAAGTCCAGATTAGTCACAGCTAATCATGGAAATTCCATTCTAATGCTTTTTTGTTGGGGTGAACATGTGAGCAATGAGGTGTTGTGAAATATTCTACAATACTTCTGGGCACGATCTCCCCGATAATACATTGTTAGGACATGAGAAGATATGAGAGACATGAGAAGAGATTGTCTATCTTCTGCTGGACTTTTTCATGTCTGTATGTGATACTAGCTTATGGTTTGTAACCGTGAAGGGCAGTAGCCTGAAGACGACAGTGCACAAGGTGGAAAAGCCAGCTCGGAGGCGATGTTGCTGAGCTTCTCAGATCTCCACACTTGCTCTCTACTGGGACTTTGTATTACCTGCCATAATAACTGTCTCTTATTTATTCTTAGGGCTGTCTGATACTTAGATCTGAAGGCATTCCAGCTGACAGAGGAAAATTTTTCTAAGTGTTAATGTTCTATACATTGATTTTCGGGGAAGAATTATTTCTTTTGAGAAGTTGATATAGGGATTGCTGTTTGTATCAGCCATGGATCTTTCTGGTGGACAACAGAATTCTCCAACTAAACAGATTTTAATGGCAGACTTACCACAGTGGTGTCTGCGAGAAACAAGGGATATTGAAACACCTAGAGACTAGCATCAGTAGGAAGCTATCACCATTCTGAGGCCTCAAGGGGCAAGGATGGAAGCAGTGTTACCTGAGCCCAGCAAGAGCTGCTGTCATGGAGGAGGGGCCACTGTGTTGGAGACATTGTCACCACCAGAATTGTGGCACCAAATTGCCAGTGCCTCCCTTTTTGTGAAACCAACTAGATGCGTCTGCAGAAAAGCCCAGGTGGGTTCAGAGGAAGGTGGAGAGAATCTGGGTAGAGTACATGGAGAATAAGTAGCACAGTGTTTTTCATTTCTGTAAATTCCTATGTAGAATGCTCAGAATTAGAAATAAAGTTATTCTGCTAGCTGAAAGTTAAGTATTTCTCCTTCATGGTGCTTTTGTATTGGCATAAGGAAATTCTCTTTGGAACCAAGCGTTGTGGCAGGTATGTCTCCTTTGACACGATGAAGTAGACATTATTTGAAATTGCACTATTCTTATCTCTCTCTGGTGTTCCTTGTCATATGTGGTAGAGGTACGCAGCTTTATTCTTCCACATAGCCAGTTTTCCCTACACTGTTTGAATAATCCAGCCCTTTCCTTGATTTAATATGGTGTTTTTATTATGTACTTAAATGTGCATTGGGACTATTAGTCTGCTCAATGCAATTTTTCTACATTATTTTATTAACAGAACCTGTCCTTGTGATCACAGGGTTGGCATTTACCCAGCCCTGGCCCCACATTTTGTATTAATCCAGGAATGATCATTTGTTACAAATAGGCCATTGGGAGGTTGTTATAGATCAGATAGTTTGTGGCTTTGTTGCTGCTGTCAGTCGTATTGAAAAAATACACTTGCAGTGTGATCTATTGAAAGTCAGTCCTCAGCACAAAAAAAATTTTTTTTTGCAAAGCAGATGATAGTAAAAAGTGCTATAAAGAAAAATGAAAAGTCTACAGCCATACCACCCTGAATGCGCCCAATCTCGTCTGATCTTGGAAGCTAAGCAGGGTCGGGCCTGGTTAGTACTTGGATGGGGGACCGCCTGGGAATATTGGGTGCTGTAGGCTTTTTTTTAATTTTAAAAATGAAAGAAAAGAAAAATGAAAATAGGAAAAGTCACAGGGATGGTGTGATTTTATATAGGATGGTGTCCTTGTCTGTGTGCATTGCCATAAAGAAGAGGTTTATTTGGCTCATGGTTCTGCAGGCTGTACAGGAAGCATGGCGCCAGCATCTGCTTCTGGTGAGGGCTTCAGGGAACTTCTACTCGTGGTTGAAGGCAAAGGGGGAGCAAGCATCACATGGAGAGAGAAAGACAGACGGACAGACAGATCCTTCAACAGAATGGCACCAAGCCATTCATGAAGGAACTGGCTCCATGATCCAAACACCTTCCATCAGACGCCACCTCCAATATTGGGGATCCAATTTCAACAATGAGGTTTGGAGGGGACAAATATCCAAACTCTATCAGGTGGCTCCAAGAAGAGCTCACCGAGGAGGCCACACTGAGGGAGGAGCTGTGTGGGTGTGTGGAGAAGTGTGCCTGTACGTGCATATCCAGCACACGTTCATGTGCAACCAACACCTTCACGTGAGATTCTGTTTCAGGAAACAACACTTACGGTAAGTACCTGCAATGTACATTGATACTTTCTTCTGTATAATACTACATTCTATGTACAGAAATACTTTTTCACACGTACTAAACTGATTTCACTACCAAACGTATCCTGCAGGGCGCTAGTGTTTAAACCAGATGAGAATTGCTGGGACATTGGTTTGTACTTTGTGAAATGACAAAGTAATCACTTCTAGTGCCTGCAGATTGTTTTCTGATTAACTCTCAAGCCTGTTTCTGGAATTTGGCCTATTTTCTGTCTTCAACTCATCCTCCCCTGGTCTGGTGTGCCCTGTGACTTCACACCCAGCTTGTCGTTGGCAGGGAAGTGTGGAGCTGTTGCTTCTGGGAGGGTTCAGCCCCTGGGTATCCTTGATGCCCTCAGCCAGACACTGCAGCTGCAACTGCTGCTGCCCTGGACCTCTCCACCGCATCTCTGTCTGCCTGAGGAAGTCTTACCTATTCCAAGTCCTACACGTCCACTGAATCCTCATCTGCCACTCAATGACTGGACCCTGCACAATCTCAGCCTCCTTTTATCTGAGGAACTTCACCTCGCTTTTCCCAGCCTGCCCCTCCTCTCAGATCTTGCATTCCCAGGCTTCTCTTTCAGATGAGGAACCGAATTCTCTTAGATACCACTTCTTAAGAGCAGGGTCTCCTCAGATTCTTCGGGAGGTGAGAAGAGATTACTATCAAGCTCTCTCATATCTGAGTCCAT